AAACTCAAGAAATAGCTCATTAGTCATGAAAGATGCATCATGAGTTGGAGTATTTGGTTCAGGATCAGTGGTTGAATGAGTGAGGTTTGCAGAGTGTTTGGGATGGAGTCTGGGGCCCTTTGGACCAGTCCAGTTAGCAGGGTAACCATATACTTGGTAACACTTATCAGAAGAGTGTGGATAGCCACAATGAGAACATTTAGGTCTTGGCTTCTTATCTTTGGGATATAGAGGTTTTTGGGTGGAAAACTGTGGAGTATGGCTTTTAGCAAGCATTGCCATGGGTTCAGATGTAAGGCTGTTGTTATGTGAGGCTCTTTGAGATTCCTCTTGAAGTAGTAAGAAGTATATTTTTGTGAGGTTAGGTAATGGTGAGGTTAATAGAAAATGACTGCGGAGTGATGCATATGAATCATTTAAACCAATTAAGAATTTCATCACACAATCGTGCTGTTGAGACTCAGCCATAAGATCAAAGATTTTACAAGTACAAGTAGATAGAGCTCCACAATAACACCTAATAATAGGCCTGTAAGTCACATACTCATCCCAAAGTCCCTTAAAGGCATTATAGTATTGAGTGATAGTAAGGGAACCCTGATTCATCGTGCTAAGAGATTTTTCCAATTGAAACACACGCGGTCCACTACTAACAGCATATCGATTTTTCAATTCATCCCAAACTTCCTTAGCAGAGTTAAAGAACAACAAGGATTGACAAATGTCTTTAGAAATCGAGTTCAGCAACCAAGATAAAACTAAGTTGTTAGCCCTAACCCATGACACATACAGACTAGCATCAATAGAAGGAGAGGGTGATAGCAAAGTACCGTCGACAAATCCACCTTTGTTCTTCACGCTAAGAGCCATGACAATAGCACGAGACCAACTGACATAATTTTCACCGTGGAGAAGTTCGGCAACGATTAGAGCACCTGGATTGTCACTGGCGTGTAGATAGAACGGACTAGATGGATCGTCATTAGGGTTTGGAGCGGCAGTAGAACGAGCAGTAGGATTGTGAACAGTAGCCATTCCGATTCAGGCGAAAATCAACGTGGATCGAAGGTGTATAGATTGAAAAGCAAGAGATCGAAGAGATGTCGATCGAAATCCAAAAAAGATCTCAGAGATGGAGATCCAAAAACAATTGTCAAACAAGCGAGAAAAAAAAATCGAAAAAATATCGAACAATATCTCAGAGATGGAGAAATCTCAGATCGAAGAGGTGTCGATCGAAGATCTATGTGCGGAAGCGAAAAAACAAGGAATCGAAACTGACTGATACCATATTAGATTGATAATGAACAGATCTATGAAATATGAACAGACGAGAGAAAATAAGAAGGCTGCGGTTTTCTGTAAAACTGGAAAGAAAAAGAATGATGTACAGTGTGAGTTTTGCCCCTTTTATATGTAGGGTTTCCACAATGGTAAAATGGTAAATATACAAATGCCTATAGTTGCTCGATGCAACTTTAACACAATTTCTAATAATACAAATGCCTATAGTTGTATTACACAACTTTAACACATAATCTAAAATAAAACAATAACTATAAATCAATATTGTTATTAAAGATCGAATCAAGTTTTCAAGGGAGGAAAATGGAGGAAAAACTAACTGGAAGTCCCCCTTCAGCCCTAGGCACTATTCCCAATAAATAGCCTGTAAAAAATCCTTCAAAGTTTCAAATTTTAAAACTGGTCGCGCCGATCAGCAGGCCCAGGAACCTGGCTATCTTAGGCTCTGTTACTTCCGCGGGCAGCGGAAACTTTGGAAGCTTCGGCTCTGTTACTTCTGCGGGCCGCGGGATTGGCAGGTGAGGTGTAGGTTGCTATGCGCGACTTTACGTTTTGGGTTCGTTTGAGCTCGTCTTAACTCGAAATTGAGTTATGCTTTTTTCTACTCATCGCAAACGGACCCTTCTAGTTAAATACGCTTGCACGGCCAAATTATTCTTGAAATCCTATCCTTCTGAAGCTTCCGACCTGCACACCAAAAACGAGAAGAAAAACGGAGAAAATTGGGTAACGAACAAAAAAACTACAGAAAAACTCAAAATGAAGGAAAACGCACAACAAAACACAAAACGAACTAAAAACGAAATAAAAGACCTAAAATAGGAAAAAAGAAAGTCAAAACAAATACGAAAAATGCAACAAAAATGGGAGACACATGGACTCCTTGAGTTGGGGAACTGTAGAGGGCCCTCCCAGACCCCTATAGTTCCACACTATGACTCTCATTTGTCATTTGGGAGCCATTCCAGGTTGGCTGCCTCCACCTTTGCAGAAGAGTTTTTTAGTTTTTTGGGCTCTGGGGTGCAGAAAGGACGATATCAGATTGCAATCTTCCTCTTTTTTCTTGGAACAAGGAGTATAGGTTATGATGCCAGGGTTTGGTGTTGTGGGAGTTCGTGAAATTTTTGGTTTTTTGGTCCATTTTCTAGAAGGCATCTGCTTAGGGCTTAGGGGTATGACATGGGCAGGGGTGTCTAAGTTCATTGTTGAGTCCACAGGCAAAGGGGCTTCTCTTGATTCTGAATTAGGGGTGGTTATCATTTGGATAGGGGAGGTATGAATTGGTTCAATCATAGGTGATGGTGGTGGTACAAGAAGGTTGTTGGTGTATTTTGGGATGGTATGCTGGTGGTTGGGATCGATTAGAGATAGATTTGAGTCTGAACCTGAGGGGTTTGAAGGAGCAAATGGTGAGGGTTGGAAATTGTGGGGATAGTTTGGATTATATCTTTGTTAGTTTGGGTTTGGGATGGGGAAAATAAGGGGGAGTGAGTGGAAGTACCTGAGAATGGTGGGTGGTATTTGGCTTTGAAGATGGATTGGGATTCTGAGACTTTGGTCCATTCTCCAAATTGGCTTTTTTGAGGGTTCTCAACTTCTATATCCACAGTTCTCTTAGAACATGATCTGTCCAAATTGCCAATAACTCCACAGTAGTAGCATAGATTTAGGAGTTTTTTATATTTGAAGATAACCCTTTGGACCTTATTCCCCAGCTGGACATTTGCACATCTGAGCAGAGGTTCTTTGAGATTGATAGTGGCCAAGATTTGACGCATCTGCCATTTTCGGAACTAGAGTTGTAGATTAACACATCTTAAGTCTTTTTGAAAGCTTTGCCGATTTTCAGACGCACCTCTATGTTTAACCAATTAAGGGGTATGCCGTCTGCTTGAATCCACATATCCATCTCAGAAAGACATTCATGGTCTGCATGGATGTCCTTTTGTCACTCTTTCGACAGAAGATACTGATTTTCAAAGGACCAATTTTTTGCTCCTGCAACTTTTCTTTTGTCCTCTAAATCCTCAAATACGAAAATTATGTTGCAGCTCCCGCACAGCCATTTGGTTTCAAATTTTTCAGATTTGCGTCATGGTTTCCCGGAAGTCGTAGAGGTGAGCTTTTCGGTCACCGATTATCCCCTTCTTGTAGTGCTATTATGTTTTTTTCCTTCTAGCTTAAGTTGCAATCTCTGAGTTTTTGTTCCAGGTTTTCCATCTCTGATATCCGAAGAGGAGAAGCAATATGTAGGAGAGATTGAGATAGAGAGACTTGATTGAGCTGCCCAATTGAACCTAACAGAGAAAGGGGAAACAGAGCGACATAGTACACAAAAATGGACTAACCCTAGAAACAGGAAAAAAAGGGGAAAAAAAAGAAAACATCAAGGGAGAAATACACAAATTAAAGGAAATTAGAGGATTACCATAGCCTTAAGATTGATATGGCGATCTAAGCCTTCAATGAAGGAATTGCGGCTCTCAATCGAGAGAAAGCGACTTTCACTCGAGAGAATCTCACACTTTTTAATTATTATTATTATTTTTTTCCGAACGACAAATTACTTCAAATAACTCAATAAGGCGTCTTACAATACGAGGCCTAATTAGGCATAACAGTTACCCTAGCTAGCTCCCACACAAGTCTCCTTGGAGAGCCATTTTGGCTAAAAATCTACAATCTTTAAATAATAAAAAACAATTAATACTGAGGACTGGCAGTGTGGGAGGCTGAAACTCGATGGGAACCAGCGGCTGGATAGGTGGGTCCAGCATGAAGTTGGGGGGCCAGCGAGCAATCACTTCGGTGGGAACCAGCGGCTGGATAAGGTGGGGCCAACTTGGAGCTGGGAGGGGCAGCGAGCGATCAGTTGAGGATCGACTTCTTGTGCACGGTAGGTGAGGGTATGAAGTTGAGAGTTATTGTGTGGCTACCACGGTTTAATTGGAGGCAGTGTCTAAAGGGTCGGAGCTGTTTCCTCGAGGACTAGTCAGGCGCAAGCCTGGAACCTCGGTATAAAAAAAAAAAAAA